GCAACATGTGCGACTTTGCATGATTGGACTGTTATTCTAGCGATTGATTTCAACTCCGATGCAGTTACGAAAAAATACGATGTGTGGGAATTTGCAACAGTGGTATACACTCTACTATTTGAAAGAGGGAAAAACTACAGTTACTCATCAGCCAGGCTATTAAGATTGATTGGTAACTCGTATACTTTCACAATCCGCCATCGTAGTTTGGTGCAGTTTGATGATCAATGCCCAGTTCTTCCGCTTCTCCATTTCAAAGGATTTGATGTTGTTGCCCTTGTGACTATTCCATTCCAGCTCTGGTAACCGTCAAAGGAGATTGTTTAAATTTAATAGCGAATAGCGTAGCATACCCACTTTACTGGCACAAAACCACATTATCTGTAGATTAGTTTACAGATGCGGTAACATTTATGTACATGGGAAAAATGGACCGATGTCTGTCCCAATGAGTGACGGAAGATGTCTCACTGGTTCCTGACCTGTTAGATGCAATATGATAAAACGATACAGACAAAACCAAGAAATTCGACTTGATCCACTGCGGGATATCACATGACAACTACTGGCGACCAGGTTGACGAGACTCGATCGTTCAGTCATGGTACAATCTAAAGTGGATGTGAAGTGATGCTGGTCGCAACACATACAAAACCACACTCACCATGTATGTGTACAAACCATCGACTAAGCAGTAACTACTCTCAACCGTCTACAGTCGCATGAGTCATTGATTTAAATTTATGCTCATTTTCTCTTTTTTCGACATGATTTACGTAGACGATCGAGGCAAGCGAACGAAATGCTTGCACCGTGAAGTGTACCGAGTGTATCTATGGGAGAATTGTACACACAATGCGAATACAGAGTGACAAACAAGCGCTTTATGAGTGCTTCTTGATCGTGCCATTACAACTGAATATGTACGACTAATTACATATACACATTCCTAATGAAACCGACACGCCCAGGATGAAAAAGCGGCTTACCGTCCGACCATGTCGATCACCGACTTTGTTCTAAATCGCTTCTGGATTAGCCTCGTACAACGCAAAAACAGCGAAGCGAACTTCAATGATTGTAACTAAATGAATGTGTAAATGAATTTGAATGCAGATCACGGGATTCTCCTAACGCGGCTGTTCACTGAGCAAAAAAAAACTGAAAATCTTTAAACCACAGGTGAGATTTCATGCTCGTGAAGTAGTAGGTAAAAGGAACAGGTTGCAGAGAATTCAGTAGTTCAAAACCAGAAGAAATGAATCTCCAGGGACTACGGTAAAAAAGCTATTCGTACAGAAGTCTTTCGTCGGTGCACTTCCTGCCATGTCAATATAAAAGTTACTATGCATGAAAAGCAACAACTTCACACACGACCATGGTTTCTAGTGGTTATTTCGCAGACAGCCTTTGTACAGCCGCGGCCCTCTTCCTCTTGAAACTCTACCATACATATATTTCATCAATAAAAAAGGAAGTAAAAACATTTTTTTTATTTTATATTCCCAAGGTTCAACAGTTTTCTATGCTGTTACACAAAGCAGTTCGGATAGTACTCACTTGGTACAACACTGTAGCCACAGTCAAGGACCAATGAACCTGGTTTAATCCACTCGCCTCGCACCAGGCCCGGATGACCAACTCCAGACACCAGAACATCCGCACGGGCTACTTCCCCTTCTAAATTTCGTGTGTGAATATGACACTGGGTCACGGTGGCACAACCGGGACCAGCGAGCAGATCGGCTATCGGTGCACCGACCAGACGTCCGCGACCGAGTACCACACAGTGGGATCCGTGCAGTGGAAACATGGCCTGATGAATCAGGGCGAAACAGGCCGAAGCAGTGCATGGAATATGCATACGGTAGTGACCGGTATCCACACTTTGGTGATGACACAGGGCATTTTCGCGACTCAATAGGGCCGTGTTACGAAATCCCAATCTGTGAAACGGAAAAGAATATCGGGACGGTGAGTAATGGACACTGGATTGGACGTTGAAATGAGGCAGTACACCTCTGTGGGTAACTGGAAGTGGAATAGTACGTTAACAAACCCAAGTGATTTATCCATCTCTTGATAATCCAAGGCTACCCAAATCTTTATGTTGAATTTCCTCGTTCATCACACTGAGTCAGGACGCGTGGAACGTGAGATCGAGAAGAGCATTGATGAGATCAACACCACATGCTTTCGGAAATAAAAAAAAAACCAATATTCAATTATGCAGCCAAGTTTAGACACTTATTATCGGGCATATTACGCACTGGATTTCACATGAGTGGCACCGACCAAAGATCAAACGAAACAGAAATCCATTGGATTAACCCTTTGATGGTTAGGTCCAGCTAAAGTATGTAACTCGTCTAGTGTACGTGTGTAGACGCGTTAGTCAAACATTTCTACGAGTCACAAAATTCCTTGTGGCCTGCACGAAACAAATAAAGCAGTCTAAAATGCATGCCAAGTCGCATTTGGAATTAGGCGTACCCATCGACATCTTTTTCAGGAACAATAGCATGGAGTGGCGTCCACACGTTTATATTCTGATCCGAATCCAAGGGGAGCTGAAAGATTGTGAAATTCGGAGAGAAAGAGAGAGAGGGCGGTGAAAACACAGACAGAGAGAGAGAGAAAGAGAATTAGACTTTAGTGCTGCACATAATGTACACCAACAGTCACACGCATATTGAAATGATCTGACGCAATCGCACACATGGAATGATCGAATCAAAGGGTTGCACATACATGTTTCCCTCTGTCACTGTTCCACTACAGTGGAAACCAAACTGAAACAAATGTTGTTGGAAGGTAGAAAACACCATCATCATTCATCATCTTCATAACCATGTCATTAAAACAATAATTGACTAAGGATTAACTAAGGAAACTTTCAGTGGGACTGTTTAGATATCATCATGATCATTCACAGAAGGTTGAACACATAGTTGTGTCAAAACCATTAAATCCAAAAGACCAATAACAATATGATTTAGTCCATTTAGCAGTTAAACCGGTCTGAATACGTCCGATAAAAATCTGACAAGCAACATATTCTACATTTCTCTTTCAGAAAATCCAATCCGATCCCCGTGTGGTAGGTCTTCCTGGTTTTGCATTTACTGTTTCCTAAGTTTTCCACTCCATAGAGCAGTCATTCAAAAGTCCTGATATCACGAGGCAGAAACCCACTGCCGATGCGATTGACCCCGTGAGTAGGTACATAATTTGATGGACATTTAACTCGTAGTACCCCGGTTCGTCTGGAATCAATTGATGAGAACAGCCATTTGCCGACACACCAATGTATGAATACTGTTTGGCACAATCAAACCATGAGTCAAAAATTTGAAATGAACGGCCACATTTTCTACTTCTTTTGTCTAGAGCAAATCTTTTACAGTGTAAGTGTACAAGACAGCGGTGGACTTTGGAATAATTTTGTTCAGCTCCATCATTTGGGAGCTGATGGGATCGGGATGATTTAGTTTAGGGTCCTAATCGGTTTTCTAGAAGGAAAGTGGTTGGTTAAAAGGGAACTATTCTATACCACTGGAAACAGCTCACGGTACTGGACGATTTCTGATGGTAATGGTCATCGACCAAGGCTTGTTTGAAACCCGTCACAGCGGCCTAACCTTATCATGGACCTTGCTTCGCATGGAACCTTTTCCCGAACAAATGTACAAGAATATCAATGAAAACAAAACAAAACAGCAAAAGTTAGTTCGTTTAACTTCCGTTTCGATTGTAACTAACTGGGGACGCAAAATATGCCACAGAAAAATGGGAATATTATCGAGGATAACAAAGGAAGGAATGATTGACCTGATGCGTAATAATAGTGTTTCTTGATCGCTTATCATAGCAGTAAATTCCCTATCATTTTACAACGACGTCCAACTATGGATCTCTGATTACCGCCAGTCTTCCCAAAACTGGGTTCAGGATGACACTGTGGCTTCAGACGAAAATGTGGATTTAGACAGTCAGAAAGAATATGGATCACCTGAGTCTGGAAACCGTGTATCACCTCTACAGTTGCTAACTGAACTAGCTTTCTTTCTGCACCGACCTGGTGACGGAACGTCGTGCCCTGAAGCAGGTGTGCGATAGTCGCACCAGGCATTAAACGTAAACGCTGTTCAAAGAATAGTTATCCAGCGGGGGTCGCCTCTGCGGGTCATAGTACTTAATGACATACCACCTAAGGTAACAATGATAATGGAGTAACACTTCGCACACTACACTTTTTTCAAATTGTCATTTCTGTACACCATGGTGGTTACAGTTTAGTAAATAAGAACTCGAAAAAAACAAGACCTCGGTGATACAGATAAATGTGACGAAGAATAAAAGAGGCAGAATAAATGTCACAAACTAACCTGAATCATTATTCCATGAACTGTACTGTCTCGATTGCAACGTTCCACGAGTTCCAAGAGCTAACAAATGACGGAAACGAAGTTCCCACATAAGAAACTACGGGACCTACAGACTCTTGGGAACAGCTTGAAGGTAGTTTGATATGAAATAACTCCACGCCACAGTCCAACGAAAACCGTCGCTTTTGTTGCACGTAAAATGTAGAATCCTTCCAGTTCCCAACCTGCGTAGTAAAACGGTCATGAAGAAAAAGTAAGATCTGATGAAGAAGAACGGAAAAACAGAACAACAGATTGTACGAGCTGGTTAGAATCTGAATAAACGGAATCAGCAATAGACCGCAGGTTTCTTGAGGCGATCGCGAGACATCCTCACTACGTCAGCCAATAACAATCGAGCTTTATTTCGATTGGGATTCTGTGGGACAAACCCAACCAGTTATGTTTATTGGAAGACGTGAATTAGCACCGGAGGTGACGTAAATTCACTTATAGCGATAGGAAAGTGTACTGAACATCCAACCGCGACGGACATGAAGCACCGTCCCATTATCTTGTGGGTTGAACCACTTTGAAGAGCGGACCTTCTGTTCTGTTGTTCTGTTCCTACAACCATTAACCATGCACTTTCGCGCGCCGCCTTTGGTTGCTGTCTTTTGCCTGCTTACTTGGATAAAACAGCAAAATGAAGATTAGAATGTGGACAGCAGATTCAAGCGGGAGATCGTGAATTTATATAGACTGAACTTATAAGGATAATGAGTAGATGCATGAGCGCCACTGTTTGCGACACCTAGCCATATCGCTCAGTGTCTCCAACTATCGCTGGTCATGATCTGGGGCTCCCCAGAGAGCCTAACGGTACCTATGTGAGCCAGTCTCCTGGTCAGGATTTTCATACCCTCATGCCAGGTCTCATTTTGACCGCCCTTGATCTTTTTCCAATCACCACCTGCCTCGGCAAACATCGCTCGCCGTGGAAACCTATCCGGTGACATGCGTAGAACATGTCCCAACCAGCGTAATCTATGAAGGTCTACCAGTGAACGACCGCGATTACCTGAAACTCTACGCCAACCCTCAGTATTGCTCGTCCGGTTTCCCCAACACACTCGTGCAATGCTACGTAGACAGCGGTGTTCGAACACCGACAATTTATTTTTATCCTGTTCCTTTAGTGGCCAAGTCTCTGCACCGTAAAGCAGCACTGACCGAACTGCTGCGGCATACACTCGACCCTTCACAGACAGCCGGATGTCGCGACAGCGCCACAAATGTCTCAAGTCGGCAAATGCCAACCGAGCCTTTTGTATACGTACCGACACTTTATCTGTGATGCGTCCGCCAGGTGAGATATAGCTGCTCAGGTAGCAAAAACTGTCTAATTGCCCTACTACTTCCTCGGTTAGAGTGAGGTTGGGGACTGGACCAACCCAATCTTGGAGTAACATTTTACACTTTGAGGGTACAAAACGCACGCCGAACACGGCCACACTAACACTCAAGCTATTCAGAAAAGCTTGCAAATTACTTGGATCTTCACTTTGTAGCACAATGTCGTCTGCATACTCTAGACCAAACAACCTGCCACTCGGGAGTAAATCGACACCGCTATCCTCGCACGAGGACAGGGTTGTTTCAAGACTCAAATCGATGATAAAGTTAAATAAAAACGGGAGCAACCCTGTCGAACACCACTTTCTGTAATGAACTCGGGTAAAAAGGTGTCGTAAGCTCGGGCTCAGCTTCGACTATTAGTGTAAAGCGATTGCAAAATTGAAATAAACTTCTCGGGTATAACCCTCAGAGAAAGGCAGCGCCAGAGTTCAGTGCGGTCAACTGAGTCGAAAGCCGCTTTGAAGTCGAGGAAAACAAAGATGGTGAGTCTACGAATGGAGTGTCTATGTTCTAGAATTTGACGAAGAGTGAAGATATGATCCATAAAACCCCCACCAGGCCTGAAACCAGTCTGGTTCTCACGCGCACACCGTTCACGTGCGGCAAACAATCGACGGAGTATGATACAGGCGAGAAGCTTAGAGGCAATATTGATTAAACTAGTTCCTCTGTGATTTTCACAAGAGGACCTGTCGACCTTCTTGTAAATCGGTATGCCCACCGATTCACACCATTCAGTTGGAACGTGGGCCCTTTACCATATAGAGCACACGAGTTTCTTCAACTCCGGAACCTCCATTTTACCTTTTCAGAGAGCTTATTTCTCGGGAAACCTCCATTTCAGATGGAGGACTGATTTCAACTGGCAGTATTTGCACAGTCGAACCGGGTATAGGGAGGTTTTGTGCTGACGAGGGCCAGCTGAACTGTGCCTTAAAATGTTTTGCCCATCAATCTAGATGGCGTTGCTGAATATGAATCAATGCGTTGTCGGACTTCTTAACTACCTCACTCACCCCTGCTTTCCTTGGACCTGTGCTCCTAATTAAACGAAAAAGATTGCGACTATTACCAATAGCCGCAGCCTTCTCC